TTTTTGCAGATGGAACACATTAATTTCCTTACAAAACACAATGGTGGCAGTTTCATTCCTTTAAAACTTAGCTGCAACACATGGACACATTACTCTATCTCTTCAACCCATTAATTCTGTATTCTCTGTTTAATGGATTTGTGTGTCTTTTGATGTAGGCAATGTCTTCATCTATGTCTTAGTGCTTGATGAATAATAATAGTTATTGTTTCCCAGCCAAAAGCAGTTGTGAACTGAAATTTCTTGGGAGACTGCCTCTCTCTTTGTGAGAGCTTTCTAGAACTATTTTGTACACTCATGAGTTTCAGTTCAATCTAGTTAATTTGGATGTTGAACCTCTGAATTTTTGGAGGTTCATCTATCACTGAATAATGGAGACGGACAGAGGGAGGCAGTTGAATAGAAGTCAATATGCCAACTGTTCCTTCATTTATTACTGCCATATTAATAAAGTTGATAGAGTGGAACTAATCCATCTGCTCACAATTTATTCCCTAGCAATAAGATACAATTTCACTATTTCATGAGCTCACTCTTTGACTAATTTTATTAGAATTCTTTCCATAGCATCATTTTTTCACTTTTCATCCAGTTTTAGTTATGTGTAAAATAGTAGAAAAAGATGGACTAAAGAGACATGAAAGGATTTAATGAGAACCTTGGGTCAGCTTAAACAGAACCAGATCAAATAAAGTTAAGTCAGCAAGCCTACAAAGGCTAACAGAAAAGCATTCAAAATTACCTCTTTCACAGGAAGCTTTGTTCTGTCATGTCTAAAATGTAAACAGGCAAAAGAAATAAGGCAGCCCTGGCAGCATAATAAGATGAGGAAAGACTGTGGTGACTTAGGGGATGTGGCTGTGGTGACTTGCCAGGCTGATGGGCAACAATGGGCAGAGGGCTGCGGTGTCAGAGCTCAATGGATGGAGAGGCCTCCTCCCTTCCTTACCAAGAACTAGTGAATGAGGTTTATCTCATCCACCAGTTCCCAGACATGTGTGGGCTCTGGATATTAAAAAGATGCAGGAGTGTTGGTTATATGCAATGCTAAAATGAATTCCTGTGAGCTTAGTATTTTTCTCTTGTTTAGTTTAAAACAGTCTGATATGCTGATCCCTTATTAGTCTGGTCAGGCTAGTCTTCAGCGATCTGGGGTGGGTGCAATTTCAGACATGAGTGACTAAGCAGAAATTACCTGTTTTCAAAGTGTTGAGCCCACCATTCCCGATGATCACTAGGGGTTTTAATGCAAATGCAATAAGAACTTTTACAGAGAAAGCTGGGTGTAGAGCCTAGACACAGGCATTCTGTGTAGGAGTTTCCAAAGCATCCAATTCATTAACATAAGTCTACTTCCACTGAAAATGATAGTTTTAGCAAGAGCTTTTAATGGACTGAGTTGGGTGATTCCAGAAAAATTCTGAAATGACTACCTGCCTATTTTAAAATGCCTTTTTGAGCTAACAGGTAGCAGCAGCTGTAGATGCCAAAAGTAACTTTATTTTTTGTTATATGTGGAGCACTGACCATTAAAATGAACACAGACTGACAACTTGTTCCTGTTTGATATGATTTTTCCCAGGAAAGTCGTGGGCTTCTGACCTTCTCTTCTTTCAACAGCTTCCAGTTTGGTGGTTTATGGGGTTAATCTGTAGGCAATTAATGCCATTTCAGACTAATCATTCTTTCATTAGAGTGGAGGTGGTAAAAAAGTACAACAGCAATTAAAAATCAAAAATAGTTAAATAGTTAAATTAGATCTCTAAATCTAAAGCATAACTGCAACTACAATGGTACTATCTATATGACATTCATTCCATGATATTAGTTAGCTGCATGAGTGTGGATCATCTTTATAATGCTTTGGTTATCTCTCTCACTCTCTCTCTCTCACACACATCTATATGATTTTAAAACTGGTGTGGTTTTTTAATATTTATGTACACCTGAATGAAACTATGTATGTATATGGATATAACAGAGAAGAAATACAGTGTGGTTATTGAAAGCTGAGATAACAAAAAAAATTTCTTATTAAAGCAGACACCTAGACCATAAATAAATGAAATAATGTATGCATTAATAACTCCACATTAATAATTTGAGAAAACTGTAAAGTAGCAGGCACAAAAATCTGTGTGATCTCTTAAAGGCTAAAACTTTTATGAAGGATCAAGTTCACTGTAGTGTGGTCTAAACAGAAAAAATTCTCATTTCACTCAGCAGATGGAGTCCATAAATGTTCACTCTCTAAGTATCAACTGATGTTGAATGAAAGCTGTCTAGATGTAGAGATCTTTTATTTGGTAGTGTCCAGAAAATCTTCAGTAAAGATAAAAGAAACTTTTCTAGTGAAATGCCAAACCAGTCTTATAAAGAGTCAATTCTAACTGTGCACTGAAGTACGTAATGCAAGGAAATTTTTCTTTGATTCTAGTCCAGACATTTCAAGTGCTTTTTTATGTCTGCCTTCTAAAACTGAGGGTTTTCAGGGAGAACAGACACAGAGCAAGAGGTATCATTTAAGTTTAAACCTCTGACTCTCATCTTTGCCATGAATGATCTTTTGTAAACAGACTTAAGATCACAAGATGTTTCATCCTTGGTCAAGGCAAGAAGGATGTCACTACAGTGACACATGTCACTACAGCACCTGAAGAAAACTTTGAAAAATTTGCAGATGGTTAGAAAAACCCTTAATGTGCCATACATTGGTGGAGCTGCGGTACATCTGTAACAGTCACGTATTCATTTTGCACATTATGTTAAGCATGTCAATGATGATAAAGGGTTGGTCTCCCACAAAAGTAAAGATGAAACAAATAAGGCTTGTTCAGTGATTCACAATCTCTCATGATCCTTTAGTTTTAGATATGAATTAGATATTAAACACAAGCACTGGCCTTTAAAATTCATGGCTTTCATACTTTGAAAACACAATGATGTCAAAGGGAATCGGTGATGTAGTTTGACCTGCCTTTTGATTGTGACTAGTAATAAACCATCCACATGAAATTTGTTAATGATCTTTTCCAAGGAATTCAATTAAAATCAATTTTTATTTGTTTAAGCACAGAACCTGGGCAGAGGTATGAACAAGAAAATCCCTGTTAAGTTATTTTATGGCACTATGTTGAGAGCAATAGCAGCACATTCAGGAATTTTGGACTTTCTTGTGATGTCTTGTGCAAATTGTTTTACTTCAAGGTAAAACAGCTTTCTGATGTTAATGTTAGTTGAAGTAATACTGTCAAATAGCTGTACAGTGTGTCCAGACCCAGAGGCTCCAAGACAACATCACAGTTTAACGCTAGAAGATACCATGCCATTCATTTTGTCCTAACAGCTTTCCCTAGTTTTAGAATATTGAGAACAGGATAACCGTACAAAAGAACCGACACATATCTACCATTTCTCTGGCTTTTTGTGCACAAAAATTACCTTAACCCTTTGAAGTCAGTGGGAGCATTTATTTTTTTTTTTCCCACCATGGAATTTAATGAGATCAGAATAATTATGAGGCAATTACTTTACTTTGGTTTTTGGTTGAATAATCAACACCAGCATTTACTAAATTCCAGGATAGATTAATATCTCCAACTGTATCAGTGGCACGTATCCTACTAACTGTCAAGTTTCACCCTGGACATAATATGTTTTGCTCATTGGTCCTATTCAGGCGTAGCATCCTAGATGTAGCATAATTTCATGGAAGCAGTGAATGATATTACATGACAGTTGCCAAATTAATTTTAATGTAATTTTAGAAAATAGAAATCAGCATACTTCAGTAAAGACCAATGCAATTTTTTTTTTCTTTTTGAAAAAATTGTATTTTATATTTCTTTTTGGTTTCAGAAATACTCCTTGTCGTAATGAATGCGCTCCTGTAAAAGTGTATCTCTATTTGTGTTGTTTGTTTGTAACTAATTAGTAGCATAAGCATATGCAATTCTTCAAAAAAGCAAATTTTGAATTATTGGACATTACCATGACTAATATTCCATTTTGCCAGAAAGGGACACAACTGTATTTTTTCATGCACTGTTTAAAAATAAAAGCACATTAAGTAACAATTGACGAGGTTAAATTTTCATCATATTTTCTCCTTTGTCACAAAATGATCTTTTCCACTCCTTTAAGTCTCAGTTTTATAGCTTTTTAGTTTTGGTGAAAGAAACCACCTCATTGTGTTTTAGTGAGCTTATCATAATATAGAAATGAGGGTAAGACAAGGAAATATGAGGTAGTATGCTTTTTCTTAAGATAACACTCACCCCAGAATGCTCCTAGTTTCTGATGAAACGACTGGCAATAGCACCTGTTTGGGCAATGCAGTATTCAGGATGAGTATTTTTACAAAGTAATTTGAAGAGACATTAATCTGAACTATTGTAGATACATGCCTCTGAATTGTTCTAAACTCTTGTTACGGTTGAGGGAGAAAGGCATTTTTAGGATGTGATTCATTCTATCCTGAAGAGCACATCTAAAATAGATTAAAAATGTGTCCTAGGAATGCTGTTTCTCTGCTAGTAGCTCAGCCATTTTCCCCTTGAAGTTTTTCTATTTTCTTTCTCTTTTCCTTTATGCGTCTGTATCTCCTGAACATAATTTGGGGCAATTCATCACAGAAACATATTCCATATGACTGCAGATATGTATACATGAGGGCAAATAGGTAGAGATTGTACGATAACTAGAGACAATATGACATTACATAAATGCTATATATGTTTGCCTTCATAAATTTTCTCTTTAGCAAATGTAGTATCTTGTACATTTACTGTGGATTGGGATAGTTTATTACAAAACCATTGTCTGAATGGAAAAAATGGTTCTAAAATTCATATTAAAATACATATTGAAGAGCAAATGATGAATGAATTGCAGAACCAGTCCCAAATAACTTTTTTCCTCTTTAAATATCTTTGAAGGCATTTCAAAGTCATATGGATGGGTGCAGTGCTGTCATTTTCACAAATTTCATTTTAATTCAGGACTGTGGTTCTCGAATTCGTCCAGAGGAGTCCTGTGGCTTACAGCCTCTGTCTCATGAATACCTCTCAGCAATTTCACAGACAATGTTTAAGACCTGTGAAGCTGGAGACACAAAAGGTTTGTACTTAATCCTCTTTCTTTTGAAAATTAACTCGTGCACCTCATCAAAGTAAAGCAAGAAACAATGTTTCCTCTTTTCTATGGACATGCACTAACCTACACACAATAAATCTGACTAACTACTTGTAATAGTTACAGATTTTTAAAATCAAGTTAATTAGTTTATATGATAAATTTTTCTTTAATGAGTTTCTAATCAGTGATCCACCACTGCTTGTGTTATTGTCATGTAGCCTTTAAAATGCATTGAAATATTTCCCTCAAAAGCATTTAAGAAAAAAATGCTTTATTCTAAGTGGAAGGGATTATCTACTCAAAATAAAAATCAGCTTTACAAAAAGAACACATTTTGATCCATTTGAATTTTTTATTTCCACTTCTGTACTGGAAACACAAAAATAATTTATAATTTCAAACAGTAAGGTATGTATTTTTACATATATTGACACCTAAAAGCAAAGATGGACAATCAAACATTATACAATAACAAATACAATCTAGACATCTCTTTGGTTTAATGAGAATCCAGATTATAACAGACTGTCAGACAGGTATTCATGTTTAGGTCATGTCTGCGTGAAGATTTATGCAAGCCTACTTTAACAAATCTGAGTAATCCACAGGACTGCTTAGGTATGCAGTCTTATTCATAGCTTAAATTATTGCTGGATTAAACAATAAGTAAATTTGTTCAGTTCTTTATTAGACACAATAAAAATAACCCAACACTCCTATATGGGCCACTAATACAACTGTATTTTTTATATTGCCATAGATAGGAGCAGTTTCTCGCAGCAGCAAATGTGCACACAAACTCATGGAATAATCAATACAAAGTAAAAGGAATGTGGGAACTGCCTGAATGCATCGCTTCGTGTGAAACAGAGGTGTATATTAGTTTTGTGTTATATGAAGGGAACACAGGAAGGATACACTGTTGTACACAGAAGCATATTTTAATCCCACAGCAAGTTGTGAATCATAAAGAAACACAACCCATCCTATGCTACTATATCAGCACTTGAAATTCCTGTCTAGAAAGCCCAAATGAAATCCACAGGAAAGTCCTTCGGGGGGCAGAATATCTGTTTCTTCTAGATAGTGCATCTAACTAAGTGAAGCCAAATATCAATTATCTTTTACAATGCTATTGTGAATAATATACACAATTGAAATGGAAACAAACTTCAGGATATGTAGTCTCCAAGAACAAGTATATGAAAGAGGGAAGAATAATTTCTGCTTATAAAGTGAAGATTGTCAAGAGGTATCTAATGAGCCTAGAACTGGGGTTTGAAGTATCTGGCAATAAGCGGCTGTGTAGTTTTGATGTACTTCACAACTTTCAACTGGAACTGGAAAGCATGGATTTTTGTAGAAAATCATTCTGAATTTGTAACAACTGAATGATATCCCAGTCCTGGCAGTGAACGTTTTCCTGAAACATATGGGAACAATTGCAAATTCCCAACTAAAGCAGCAACATCTCTTTTACTTAAATAAGCTAAATTTTCAGAGAAACTAAGCAATGTCATTTCCTCTCAGAAGAAAACTCAAAACTTCTGCAGAAGTAAGGCAGCATCATACACTGTTCTTATTCAAGAGAGCAGCCTAGCTGTATGGGGATACTGGGGTACCATCACAGCACAATGCATCCATGCTGGCAAAAGCTTGTGTTAGTGCAGACGTAGGCAGAGGATGAAGCAGAGTAGCAGAGAAAGAGGTGAAACCTTAGTTCCTCTGATGTTAATGGTAAAACTTAGAAGTCTGCTTTGCAGTTCAGTGCAACCAGGATTTCATGCCTCATTTCTAGTCCGTTGATACAGTGCAGGGACAATAGCTCAGGGTCTAACCAAAGGCAGAACTGGCTTCCTCCTGCCCTAGTCGTTATTCTTTGGAGGAAGCTCAGCATTTTAGGAAATACACACTTAAGTTACACCATTTTTTTCCCCTCTCTCGTTCTCTCTTTTTGTTCTTTTTTTTTTTTTTTTTTTTTTTTTTCATTCCATCTTGCTTAGATCATGGAATGAAATTATGATTTTTATAGCAAAAATCTCCTTCTTCCTTCAGAAAATCCCCTTTGACTCAATGGGGTTTGAATCATGCTATCGTAGGAAAATTTGTTCAGTATTTCAGTATGATCAATAATACAGAAGTCAGAAAGCACTGTGTGTTTGGGTCCTCAGAGAGAGAAACAGTTGATAGGGACCATGAGAATCCCTAATTTTGCTAAATGCCTGCAGGTGAATCAGGCTACTGCAGTCTGTGGAAATTTGTTTTGCAGACAATTACAAAATCTGGTGGGTAAGAGATCATGGCTCCACTTCTAATGTGCTGCCTTGCTGCTGTGACATGTACATCTTAGTTGTATCCCTCTTTCCGTACTTTCTAGAACTGCATCCAGTTTAACATAATACTGTATGAGCTTCCTCTTTACATTCATTCAACAGCTATCTCGATTTGGGTCCAGAAAAACATAAACTGATCTTCAATTTAGAGTCTCCTTTGGTTACAAGGAGTAAATTTCAGTTTGGACATAAACCTGTAGGCCTAAGGCCATTTATTCTGTAGCATCAAAATCATGTCCTTTAAAAAATAATTTTAGTTTTGTTTTTCATAAACACAGCTAAAAGCAAAATGAAAAAAATATTTCTATAGCCTATTCATAGAAAACAAGTTTTTTCAAAGCCTTGAAAAATAGACACCAAATGTAAATTAGTCATAAACCAACAAACTATCTCTAGCATCAGCACAGGTTAAATATTTCAATTTTGAGTTGTCAGTTTAGAATAATTTTTTTTCTTTTTATATGGGTAATTGTTCAGCATTACAGGAAAATTTTTATTTTGATCTTGAAAGCAAAATATGTGTATTTGTAGCTATGGCAATGGGAAAGGTTGAGTAAAAATAAAAGGCTGAAAGAAGAAACAAAACTATCAAATTAAGTGCACAGCCTTTACTGGTTAAAAGTTTTAACTTTAGGCTATTTTTTTTTTAATTCAGGGTAAACAATCCTAATGATTCATTATAAAATATCTTTCTTTTTGTGCCGTTTTAGGAGAGCAGTTTGGGGAGTACTGCCAATGTTTAATCTCATGTTTTAAGCAGATTTATGGATGCAAGTGATAAACTGCTCTAATAAGCCAAAAGTCCAGTTTACTTTTACACTTCATGTGGAAACTTCCTACTTACAGGCATTCATAAAACTTTGGTTTTACCAGTTTTTAATTTGTGAATAAACAGCAGATCTTGCTTTCCTGCTCTCTTTCACTGAATTGTAGGTAAATGTGCCCTTGCCTAGTAGAGCCAATGCTAACTCTTTTAGCTGAAGCACTACAAAATGCAGGTTGATTAAAATTGTGTTAAAAGCTGCATTTCATGCTGCTACCTTATATAAATGGGGAAAAAGCAACTTATAATTGAAATACAAAATAAACTTGAATTCCAAACTAATATTGATTATTTTCAATTTTTGACTGTTAATTGTCATCTTCTTTTATATATGAGATTCATTTTATCTTTTAACACAATTTTATTTTTGAAGGTTAAGAATGAATTCACTAACTGTTATGAAGTTACAATAGGAAAAGTTCATAACTGGATTTTAAAATGCATAAATGTACACACATTGTTAAAAAAACGCTATGCAAATACAAAACCTGCAACTATTCTGTTGGGTTTAAATGTCAGCACTTCCTATAAACATAGGTTTATCTCCATATTTGTTCTCTAATTTTTTTTTTTTTTTTTTTTTTTCCACTAACCTTTAGCACATGCTAAAAATGGATCTAGTTTTTCTTAATATACCTAGAGAGTTATTGAATATAAAACAAATTATTTAAAAGAAGCTTTTCAAAAGGTACTTATCACTTTCACTTGCCAAACTTTAAAATTTTATTGTTCAGATGTTTCAGCTCCTCAATAGTCATTTTATGTAGTTCTACTTTTCTAGTTTATTACCTAAAACCAGATCAGCTCATAAAGGTATGGGATGTTAAGAAGAAAATTCCATAAAATGACGAATCTCAGATGTTGGAGATATTGCCAGAAATTTTATGTATTTGGTTTGAAAGAAAAATTACAATGTCAGGGAAAAAAACCTGCCTAGTTTTCATATAATTTTTAAATATAAACCACTGCCCAAACCAACTTTCAGATCATTTATGAAGACCTCTACAATAGTGGTAGCCTCTGAGTCCAGGCCTCAAACCAGCCAACCATTCTGTCCCTGTCCTGTTACTCAAAAGGCACAAAACAATAAAAGGTGTTTGCATGGCACCCATTGCTGTGTTATCCAAGACCTTGCACTTTTCAGTCTCTTCATACGACTGCTATGAAGCTGGAATGACCCTCTTACCATGGATTGCAAAGGGGGTTCAGGGGGAGCTAAGGACAAGATCCACAAGTGGCAATAGAAATCTTGGAAGGTCAAAGCATGCTTGGCTCCAGCCAGGAGGCCACAACCAGAAGCAAGGGACCTCAAAGCCAAGGGAGGGACAGCATGAGGAAGGGGTTCACAATGGCCAGCACTGGAGGCTGCAAGAAAGAGGAACTGGTAGTGGTGATGGTCACAAACTCTAGGGTCATGTCTACCCTGCAAGCATTTGCTTTTGGAGCCTTTTGCTGGGCTTCAGTGAGAAACCTGGCTGTGCTAGCAAGGCACAAGACACAAGGACCTGGGGGCCCCTGTGCTCTTCCTTGTGTAATGCCTTTAACCAGAGCAAAAGCAGGTTTTGCTTCCAGAACCACATAGACACTGGGAGATACTGTCAGGACAGTGCACTTGTATGGGCTAGAAAATGTGGGGTTTGTGTTGATCTGAATATAAAGACAACTCATATGTTCTCTGTCTTCTTTCAGAAGTAAATCCCTCAGATTTCTAGTAGGATTTTGGAAATTAATAGTTTTAAATATACAGTATAACAAAATCATTCAACATTAGGTAAAAGATGCCTAAACCCCGCTGACTTTTGGTAATCGCACTTTATGCTCCTAATCTGCAAAATTTTTGAAAATAAGGATCAGGCTCTAATAAATCACATAGGTAATTCATCTCCCCTTACTTTCACCTTCTGAAATGTATATGTGTAGTCTGGGACAGTCCTCTGAATTCTCCAGGGAAAGTCATCCTCTCTTTTGCTTTATTTTTCTATCAAGGGGGTCTCAAAGTCTAGCTTCAACCAACCACTCAACTTGTAGGTGTTTAGTTGTAGATGGGAATGAATCTTGTCTTTAGACACTTCTGAATGTGAAAACTTTCTTTTTGCATTCAGCCTCCTCACCCCCTTTCCCTTTCTCATATTCTTTCTGTGGAGAAAGGACAAACTTCTAAAAGGCAACAAGAACTGAGAAATGGACCCATAAACAACTGTCAAATTTGAGCATTCGCAGCTCTTTCAGGGAAAGGAAAAATTCTTACCTAGCTAAATGAAAAGGGCGTAACAGAGAGGAAGGAAATAGTCTCTTCAAAGGGTTAGGGGCATTTAATTTAGGGAAATCTCCCATTACAAAATTCTCAGAAATATCTTGCTTGCTGTATAATACAGCTGCTCACAAAAATACAGAGGAGGTGCTGACATCCCATTGCTGTTTTCCAGGACAGTGGATTGTCCCTTGCCTCAGCTGCTCTGACAACAGGACCTGTGACTGGAGAGAAATAACATGGCAGCCCCACGGCTGCCAATACTCTGTGCTAGCCAAGTCCGAGCTCCAGCGCTGTGTGGAAGGCAGAAGGGTATGTAACACTTTACACATTAATTTATTTTTATTTACCTGGATATTTAGTGTCCTGAAGCTTTAAAAGAACCTTCATGATTGATGTGTAAGAAAAATTCCTTTTTATTATAACTGGAAAAATATTCAAATGGATTCACAGGGACAAAAACCAACTATTATCCGTAATTTAGCCTCATATGCAGACACAGTGGTCTGCTGCTGTTTCAAACAGAAGCTTAGGTCACATCAGCAGAGTTCCAAGACCTACGGTGTTCATGGTTACCAGTCAGACCTGCAGTGAGTATATAATGACTGTTAATAGAGGATGGATTTGCATTGTTGTCACAGTTTGTCTCACACTTGACGTGCAAGTTGGGTTTCATCTGCTGCGTACCTAATGCATGGCATTGCTTGTGCACACTAATCTTACCAAGTCTTCTTGCACATTCTTTTCTTGTAGTGAAGCTTCTAAGGTGATTGCTTGGAAATACAAGGTCTCCTTAATAAGCATGCTATGACTGTAAAACTGTTGAGAGAGAGCTCTGATCTGAGGCTCAGGTACCTTACTGAGGATACAAGTATCCAGAAAGTAAGTAATTGTTATAAAGATTTTTACAGTGTATTGTCTAGGTAAAAAAAAAAAACAACAAAACCAACAAACAAACAACAAAAAAACCCACAACAACCAAAAAAACCACCCAGTAAATAAAAGTGGCATTTTGATAAAATCCAAGAGCATTTCTATATAGACAAATACAAAAATAATAGTCTAACATTTCCTCCTTTTCTGGTCATTTCTTGTCCTGCACAAAGTCCTTCATTGCAATTTGGCTTTATTTCTGCCTGTGGCTTTCTCCATTACTATAGAGTTGTGGGTTTCTCCTAACATATTTTTCAAAAAACCCCATAGGTTTATATGGCAGAGGAGAAGCTTGATTTGCTCCTCATGTACGAAACAGACACTTCTGGATTGACAACAGCAAAAAATATGGAAGAATTTGATAGCGTTGCTTTGATCTTTAATTTCCGTAGACATCGGGCTAATTCAAGTAAACACCCCTTGGTCAGGCAATTGAAGGACAGCAGAAGAGCAATGTGCCACTATGGAAGCGAATTGCCAAGATATTGCTGGGAGGGTTATGCTGACATTCCCATCTCCTGAATCCAAACACTCACATTCTGCAGTGTCAAAAACAGAACAGCAATTTTTAAGGGTCCATTAAATCCAAGTATATGAAATGAATGTTTGTGAGTTTGATTTCTTAATTCAAATTCCACCATGTTCTGACTCTCTGAGGCCACTGATCTATTCTAGTGTCAGATGATAGCCAGGTCCTATGTGATCTGCATTAACACCAAGCAAGAAATATCTCTGTAAAACTAATTGCACTTGTTTCCCATTCTGCATCTTTTGCAAAAGTCTTCCATCATTGTATGATAACCTTCTTGGCTCTGTAGAAATCTGTTGAATCACTCCTGTTACCTTTGCATGAATGTCCATTTGACTGGTTTATTCTTTTAAAGTCATCACTCTAACACAGGTTCCCCTTTTGGTATATTTTTCCTATATCTTTGCAGTGGTTTTATCTTCATGTAGCGTTTTGCAATATAATTTCTGCTTCTGTGACTGAATAAATAAATGTAGAGCCTGGACCAACTTCCTTGTGTCAGTAAAACTTAAGAACTAAGAGAGACTTTCTTCATACCTATGTCAGATGAGTAAAAATTGTCCTCTGCTTGCATGATAAGGTCCTGATTCTGCCTGTGATTAAGGCAATTTTGACATTACTTTGCACAGTCTGAGCAGTGTAGTAGAAAAAGTACTTTTTTTCAGCTGCTCACCAAAAAAGACTTTGGTCTCTCAGTTGTATTGTATGCTATTACATATGTTTAAGCAACCTGGATCCTTTATAAGAGAGCTATCTGTGAGTAGCTAGCAAGATATAACTCTTGTGAACAAATACATTTTTATTACACAAGAGATTTTTATTACACAGAAGATATCTATAAATAATTATATTTCCTAATTAGTGATATTAGCTTCAAACTATTAAATACCTTGTCTTTAAGCACTACAGAGATCACTGACTGCTAAACTAATGATGTCATAGTTTCCATAATAAAATAAGTAGGAGGTTTCAATGCTGGAAATGTAAGCAGATTATAAAAAAAAAGCATGAGTGCAAAATGTAAGGGCAAAAATAACTAACCCAAGTGAAGACACTGAGATGATCTAGAATGTTGTTAGATTTATATTGTCATTTGCTGAAGTTGCCTAAGAACAACAGAACTCACTCATGTTCACTTCTCAAAATGGGCTGAACTAACCCGTGTGACTGTATTTTGGAGTTTTTTAGTATGCCACCACACTTTGAATATTCAGTTTGAGTAATTTCCATCTCTGGAGCTCAAAATCCTTTACAAAGGAATCATATAATGACCTCCATTTGAATTCTTGCTCAAAATTTATTCTGAACTGAAGAAATAAAACCTTCACACATCCCACATAATTACCAATCCTTCCTCAGGAAATCAGACATGTATGTCTGTCGCATCTTTGGGTCAAACGACATCATACCTTTCATCAAAACACAAACAGCCCTCTATGACTGAATTTCACTTCTGAATACCTTCATAAAAAATTCAGTCATGCAAAAAACCCCAAAAATATCCTATTTGTCTTTCTACTTCTAATGAAAGTGAAGGGAAGCATGCAATGAGTTAATCACTGCTGTGCTGTGTCGCTGATCTGGGTGCGCTTTAGCTACCAATGAAATAAGATGCAAAGTGAATGCTCTTTTTGGCTGAAATGTAACACATGTCAACTGTGACACTGGTCAACTGTATCTTTAAGCACAATCATTCTGTTTTTCTCATGTTTCATATAAAAACAGTAAAAATGCAGCAGTCAGGTATGTTTCTTGTTCATTAATTTATTTTATGCATTTGTTAATGTTTCTGAAATATGCTTGCTGTCACCCAAACAGAGCACTTATTTCCTAGCTGCATCATAAATATACCTTCAAAAATGCCTTCTAATTTGTTTTGTAACTCCGGGTTGCTTTCATGTCTTATATTAAAACTGATTTTTTTTGAGCTTATATCTAAAATTATCATCTCCTTTCTCTATAACAGAAATTAATTTTCCCTGGCTGTGAATTCCAATTGAATTCACATCACCATTAATTGCTATTTTAGTTTGTGTGCATATAAAACTGTGTTTGAGCTAAGTTGTTTCTGTTTCATAAAAACGTAAGAGCACCTGTAGTGCAGCAATAACACTCAGATTGGTGGAGACATCAGAAAGAATACACATCCACAAAAACAGTTTATGAGGCCTTATTTTGCTTTATGATGTATCCTTGCATTTCAGACACAGTAAACATGAAAATTTTGAGGTGTTGAGGCTAAGGTGATTCTGGCTGAGGAGATTTTCCTTCAGTCCGCTTTTAATATCTGAAGTCTTTTTTCTCCTCCATTTTAAACTCTACCTAAGGGTAACAAGATGCATGCTTCATTGTTCTTAGGGTATTCCACATGTATGTCCTAATTGAATCAAAGAAATAGGCAATCATGGTAAAAGTATTATATCTGTATTATATTGGCTTAACAAAATCCTCAGTTATTGTAGTTAATTAGTTTTTGCTGTAAGATTTATACAATTCTAGTAAGACAATGTTTGGATTTTTGTACAAGAACTTTAAAAAATGGATGAAGGAAAAAGGGTTCTAATAGGTAAATATTTATCCAATTTGTAGCATATAGAAAGCTGGCCTCAATAGTAGGGGGCATATGAATTTTGTTTATCATTGAGAAAAACTACTCAGAGTTTTGTCGTATAATAAAGTACCATTGTGTCATGTGTAATTAAGAACAGGAAATATGTAAAGGCAATATTTGCTGGAGCACTTAAAATTCAGCTGTTAAAACAGGAATTTTAACTTACAATTTCTTAATAATATTTTAGAGCTAAACAGTGGTTTGGACTTACAGGTGTTTAAATTTCCTAAGTGTGGTTAATTTATAATGATAGGTCTGGTTAAGAAGTGAATTCCACTATGCTTACACAATCTCTTAAAGCCTTTAAGCTGTAATGGAATTTTTCACACAAAACATTTGCAACAGAAGACACTGAAAACATCTGTCTGAGTGAAAATGTTGTTCTTTGTCTGGTAAAATTATAACCTTATATATGTCTGATCCTTTAGTCATCCTGCAGACAAATGCCCCATTGACCTGACAGTACATGACTAAGCCTTGTGCTAGACTGTAAAGAAAATGAGATATGTCATATTCTAAACACTTGAGTCACCATTTTGCTCATTATTGTCATAGAGTTAGATATAAAATCATCCCTAGACCCCTTTGTAGAGATCATACTAAATACCGCATGGCACAGACAACTACGGTAATTTCATGCAAGTGTATAGAAATAAATATGGCCATAGCTACCAGTATTCAATTACATTGAATAATTATTCTAATTCATTAAAGCTCTTGGTTTAGTTGAAGGGCATAAGTTTTCTTCCTGGGGCTAAACACAACTTATTTTAGTCTCTGAGCCTTCCAAGCATTTGCTGAAAATGAAGCTGACTTGCAAAAGTTGAACTTTGAAAGATACTTTCTGATGCCCTGCATACCACAAAATGTGCTTGGCCAGCGCTGAACAAGGGCACTTTAAAAAGCAGCTAGGATTACCTACAAATGTCCTCTCCTTCCACCTCTTTTTTTTTTTTTTTTTTTTTTTTTTTTTTTTTTTTTTTTAGAAGCAGATTGTTGGATGCAGACAAGGTCTTAATGAATGGATGCTCTGTGTGTGCAGATTTGCTGGTGATGGGCTTTGCACCCACCAGCCTTGGATGCATTGGATTACAAGGAATGCACACTTATCTTTTTGTCTGAAATCTTCTCTGGACTTATGGGAGAGCATTCCCTTCAAAATCCCAGCACACAGTCTCCAGAGTGTGACTGCTGATACTCTCCCATGACAACTGCAAACAGACTTCAGAGCTCTCTATGAGGACTAGGGGGCAGGGACCATAGGTTTCACGTACAACAGTTCTAGTTTTAATTACATATCTTTCAACAATGCTGTGATTTCACTACGAAAGATGTAGCTGGAGTTAAACAGATTTGCTTGATTCCAGTGATACAGTCCTGGTATGGCTCATAGCTACTTGAACAGTTGAAGACTTCTTGACTGAAAGCTAATATGGTTGCTATAATTGACTGATATCTTTGAGGATGACCTACACTTTTGGTCTGGCTTTCTGTACTACCACAAGTCCCCTTTGGCTCATTTCTCTCTTCCCCACTTACATCAAGACTATTCTCTTAGCAGACCTGCTTCCAAGTGTTCAGGTTAATTTCCCTAGTGAAGCAACCAGTGTTCCTCACCAATGTGATGTTGCCATCTGTGTCATTTCTGACTCATCCTGCTCAGACACACCTTCTCCTAGGAATAAGTATACATTCCCAGATGGACACTCAGACACTCAGTAGCATTAGCTGTCTGATATAGTTTCTTGACATTCTGCTTTACCTCCTCATAACAAGCTCACTTAAGAGTGAAAATTGAGATGTTCTGAGACTCAGAACATACTGCTTCAGAGATGGACTGTTTGCAGTCTCATTAGTCTTGTGATAATACTTGAAGAAGTACGTCTAGGCCCTATCTGTTTATTTCATCCATTTATACTGACTGCTCTAAAGGAGGCTGCTCTGACTCCTGTCACACCCTTCCTGTTCTCAGAACATCAGGACAACAGTAGTACTATTCTAAGGCCCATCTGATATTTTCATTTTGTGCCGGGCATCATGGCATTTACAGAATATAACTGCCACTTGAAGACATGATCATATCTAACTTGTCTCTGCTGATACTGGCTTTCTAAACGACTGCACACAGTGCCCTCCCATCTGCAGACCTAGCCAGCTGGGTAACCCAGGGAAGACTTGAAAACTCATTCATGGATCCGCTGCTTGTGTGTGTGTATGTGTGTATGTAGGTGTAGAAATTGTAAAGCCCTACAATGCTAAAGTTTTAATAGTGCAAACTGGGGAGACAGGGGCGATGTTTTGCTCTAATTTTGACATAACAAAAATGGTAAAGAGGCTAATTAATCGATCTCAGTCTTTGAATCTCTGCAATGATTGAGACTTTGGAAATATTTAGAATGACACTTCACACTTAAATTGCCAGAGAATGTACAGAACCAGACATCCGTGTATCATGTTCATTGGCCTTGGCCATGGTTCTTCTATCCTTTTTTTCCATGAACGGTGTTGTTCTGTCTGAAATCAGTAGTAGATGAGATTAGACCAAATACAGTTAGAAGGAGAAAATATCTATGAGAATCTTAGTCACAGTAGAATGAAGAATGAGATAAAAATGCTGCATCTGCCAACTGAGTGTAATTAATTGCTAAATATGCTCCTTTGCAATTAGAAATCCTCATGTGCAGAGATAACAAAATGGTATCATATGTTTTTAAAAGTAGAAGAGAAACAATCTAGCACGTTCTAATAATTGTTCTACACGTGTAACCTGGTAGAGCCAGTTTGTTATTGTGCTAATGATGTGTTGTGTTCTTACAGAAATGTTCTCACCCACATTGCAAGTTAATGATATCCTTGCCTGCTAATATCTGAGAACTGCTTTTTAAATAGATATACATCTAGATACTACAGTGATGGATTTATGAAATGGAGATTAAAGAAACATGGATATAGGCAGACTAGAGAGATTAAGAGATTTTGCAAGTTAAAAGAATTTTTGGTTAAAACCTCAAATTAACCTAGTTTAGAATTAGGACATATTGTAAACATGGACTGTCTTCCTAATTGTAAACAATTGTGTGCATGTTTGTGTCTGTCTGAGAGGGAAAGAAAGAATATCAACCAGTCCTTCCAAGGATCCTTGACTTCTGTGAGTCATGTTATGCTTGGTTTAAAGAGGTTTCTTCTGACATGTGGTGAAAAGATTTGGAAATCCCCTTGCATGTGAGAGAAGTGCTTGTGGAATACAAGCATGAACAGCAACTGTTTAAGAATTTACCCTATGAAGTAGCTTTGAGAGGTCCAGGACAGGAGGTAAAAGAGCTTCTATGTGCTCAGTGCTTGTTTTAATCTTTTTGCTACTATACATAATTATCAAGGGCTTCTCAGCAGGCCACGATGGGCAAGGAATGGGAAGTTCAAGTCATCATCATGCCAATTTTTGTCCCTGCCACCAGATCAGGGTATGTTCATCTGAAACTGCTTCTGTTCAGTGGGAATCATCATTGGTACAATGTTGTGGCTTATTTTTAACGACAATAGATCCATAGTGGGAACTGCAATCAGTTCTTAAAACTGTGACATTCCTGAAGGAAATAGAGATGTATTAGATGAGAGGAGTCCAAGATGCTTTCACCACATAAAATATCTAAGAGAAACTTTGGAAATACATTCTTAAACATGTAAACGTGCAGTCTGAATTTTATTTGCATACCAAATATTCAAGGTGGAAGTGGTAAAGCATCAAACCCCAAATCAAATTAAAAACAGACAAACAACCGAAACCCAACTTACAGGGTGCCAACTACCCTGAGTACCAGAGGAGGTAGGAGAAGTTGCATACTGCTGTGCAGAGAACAGGGCTGTCACTGTGTTATGGCTCTATGGGGTTCCTGGCTCCCAGCTTTACCTTTATGCTCCTCTATGTAGATTTCTGGCTGAGGTGACTGTGGTTATAACTGAATATGTACAAGTTGTTCATTGGCAAGCCACAGTGAACCTGGGTTCTCTTCCACTTTGGACTCGTCATTGTTTACATGTTCCATTCAGCAGGAGGAAATTCTAGTCCTATCCACTAAAAATAAGGCAATTACATTAAAAAACCCGCACATTTAGTTCTGTGGTCTCCACACACAGAGGTGTTTGATTTGTCAGGGGAGTCCAGAGAATGAGTAGGAGCAAGCCTGAATTTGACTTCTTCATTCATCAGCAAGTTCAGAGTAGCCCAGTGAAGACTGCTGATACTTGAAGTACTTCTGTCACCCTGACAGCCCTTCTAACTCCCTTCAGGTCATGATGCTTCCTGGTGGTCACATCGCACATGCCAGGACTCTGTTCAGATGATCTTCCACCAAAATAATTCCCTTTTTTCCCCCCTCTGAAACTGCAGAAAGACCATGTCTCTACAAATAAGGCAACAGCTGCATCCATTGATGTGTATGGTGAATTGGTGTAAAGTCTAATGAATCACATTTATGGAAGACAGACATTAACCAAGACATGCTGTGTAGGAACAAGCCACATGAAAAACTGGAGGAACAAAAGCAGGGAGATGCAAGCAATCATGAAAGGCTCTGTACTAACAATTGGAAGTAAATATAAACAAGCAAAAGAAATTATTAACAAAGGTGAAAAATGAAGGGCTAATTGTGCAGCTATAACCATCTATAACCTCTACTTTTTTTCTTTGAAAAACATAATATAGCTTTTTGTTAATCAGATCATTCAGATTTTGCTAAAGGAGAAATTTAGTTTTGAGATGTCAGAGTTGGAGAACTGGCAGCTCACAGAAATATTTCTTGAACATTATGAGAAGGGTTTAAAAACCTCCAGACTAGCTGTATTCTCTTCTTAGCTTTTGTTTTATGGAGTGTACATCTTCTAAGTAAGTCACATCTTTTTTTTTTCCCATCTAAAGATTCTTTTTATAGGTGACTCAACTAACAGAGGAATGATGTACTATCTAATAGAAAGAGTGAATAAGACTCTTCAGGAATGGCAAAAGACTCATGATGTTAAAAGTTATCATAATATCAATGAGGGGAAAACATTTATCAGCTACTCCTACTACCCCCAGTTTTGGATGAACACAAACCAGAGACCGACTTTTGAAAAAGCATTAGAACAACTGCTGCAGAGGTACTGTACAAACTCTAATTCTGTCTTGTTTGTATTCCCATTCTGTTTGCAAATGTGTTTAACACATTTTACAATTAAAGTCAGTATGCAATTAAACATGAAGTGTGCAGACAGTATTGTGTGGTCAAAAAATAGTAGAAAATTATATCAGGTCTCCCATCAGGATGCCAGATACCGTTCACTGAAATGCAATGCAATGCAGATGAAATATTTGCCATCTGTTTTAAGGCAACATGTGTTGTTTTTCCTTTCTGGGTTTCAGATCACGTCCCCTGAAGAACACAGACCAGACCGTATTAATTGTAGGTGGTGTTCAGTGGCTTAATTCCAATCACCTGCAAATTATCCATAAGGTGTTGAACAGGTAATGTTATGTATTTGGTGTTATTCCAAGTCTTGATATGATAAATTATGAGGAACAACTTAACAAAAAAATTTAATACAAACATTTCATTTGTTTTCTCACAGATGTGCACTTAAGTGACTTTGAAAAAATAAAAATGCAGTGTCTTTTGACATGTCTATTAAGTAAAACATGTGTCCTTTTATTTTCTTAATTTGCCAAACAGGGAAAATCTATCAAATATCCTGGTAATTATCAAATCCATAGGGATGGGCTTTCACCTCCCAGTGGATGGAATACATTCTCTATCACAGGTAAGCCACAGTACATTTAGAGTGCATTTTTACAGAAGACTTGTCATTTCAGCAATAATTTTGCTGTCTGGTCAAAATATGTTACAACCTCTGCTGAGCAAGCTTTAAGTGGATCAAAGAAAGATGAATGTTTGTGTTTGCTCATACTGCTTGGTAATGTGGATTTAAACCAATTTGCCTTATTTCATGGATTCCGCTGCAATCAGAGCATCATTCGAGACACCATGCTCAGTCAGCCATCCCAAGAAACAGAAGAAGCTCTGATATTAAGCCTGCTGCCAAAGTTGAGAAATCGAGCTGGGATAGGCAGATTGCTCCTCATACCATGTTAAGCACAGGCCCTCCCCAGGCTTCCTCCATGCTTACACGATCCATGCTGGATCAGATTCACTGATCTGTCTGTATTGCATGGCTCTCCATAAATCTATCTTAACCAACCTATGCATCCAAAACATTACAGAGCAGCTGGAATGTACTGGTGAATCCAGCCTGTTATGTGTATGTTAATTGATGTTACAGTCAGTTTAAATCATATCCAAAACTCTCAGAGTTACAGATGGGCTCATTTCTATGTGCTGTGTAACGCATTCAATTCAGTGTTTTTATTTACAATTTGGGCAGTGGCTTTCTATTGGACACATATAAAATGCGCAGATGAGACGGGGCTGGGAAGTGCTGGAGGGCAGAGCAGAGTAAATGATGCCTACCAGAGCTGCATGTAACACTCCAGTTACTTACAAGTGTTGAAAAGAGAAAATTATAAGCTTTCATAGTTTATGTACAGCACTTTTATCACACTGGGGACTGGCGCCCACACCTTTTTGCAGCCATAACATATTGCTGTATTCAGTGTGACACTGCAATTCTCACTCTTCTTTTTGCTATGGAGACTGCCCCATCAGATTTTGTCCATTCTTTCTAAGTTAGTACTACCTATCTGCTTTGTGTCTACTAAATGTCCTGTTATTGATTCCAACCGTTTCCTTAATTTATTCGGATGAACAAATTAGGATACAGTAGGGAAACTGTTGACATCAACATGAAGAAACATTGTCGTAACCGCTGCCATAGCTTTCAGCAGAGTTCTGTCCTAGGAGAAAGAAGCAAACTTTGATTGAAGGTAGGTGAGGCAAGGATAGAAAGAGTATTAAAGGCTTGCCAGGACTACTTTTTTTCTGTTTCTCATCCAGTAAATTTATAAAACCCCAGAAATCAACTACAGTGCATAACTGACTTTTTTCCCCACTTCCGCAGTGGAATCATATGCCAAATTACCATGTGGTTTGGGTGCTCTGGACTTCTGGATTACCCCAGCTACTCTCAAAGCCCTTCTGTCTGCAGCATGAAATCCATCACCTTGCCAAATTTATGGTTAACCTTTTTCTATTCCTGGCTTTCTTGTTGTATCTTGAGAAATAATAATTTGTTCTTCAGTATAAGCATTTCTAAGATATCTATGGCCCTATACTCCTTTTTTTTTTAAGTAACCATCTCAATGATTTTGATTTAAAGCTGATTTTTTCTTTACAGAAACGTTTTCACTGTTAGTTACAGACACCTTTATAATAGGATTTTTTTTTCTGAATTATGCCTCTATTAACTAAGTACATATTAAAAAAAGTTACCCAGAAATTATATTTTAAACATTGAAATCTTCCTATGAAGGAAGCTGCACAACTTCTGAAAAGTAATTATAATTTCTGCAAATATCTACAACATTCTTGGAGTAATAGCTATTTTCAAGAGTGAACTTACAGTAATTCATGTCTGGAGTATAATATAATTTCTTCTTTCAAAATGCAGTTTTGCTATCCATTTCCATAGCAGAGTACAATAACTTTTAAACAGTCCTTCTGACAAGACATTGCAATATTTTATCTGGAATGCAGGCAGAAGTGCAAAACTTGTGGAATGAAAACTTGATTATTCTGGATACAGCAAAAAATTTCGGATATGAAGTTGTTGACACCTTTGTCATCACCATGGGCCGCTACAAAGAATTCTTGCAAGGGAAATGTGGCTGCCATTTCCATGAGGTAATAGTTTATGCTTATATCATTCCCAGGTATTTAAGAGAGATTTTAACTGTCAGGTACTTAGAAACAAAAAGGTATGCAATGAGGTTTGCATCCGTGACTCAAAGTTAGGCCTGAATAAAACTGTGGAGATAGCAGTTTGTATGGTGGCATTTGTCCCTCGCCACTCAGAGCATCACACCACCCAAGGATAGGCTGAACTGCTGCAGTGGTGATTCCTTGAAATAAAAATAAGCATGCTCTTCTGAAATAAATATAAATATAAATATAAATATAAATATAAATATAAATATAAATATAAATATAAATATAAATATAAATATAAATATAAATATAAATATAAATATAAATATAAATATAAATAATATAAATATAAATAATATAAATATATGTTGCATGGTTTCCAGGTTCTTATATTATTTGTTATGGTTATATATTCCTACTGCTTCTGCGTGGACCCAGTTTATCTTTTTGCCATACCTCGTTCTCACAGGTTTTTGTCTGAAGCCTTCTTAACTAAGCAGCTCAGCAGACTCCTGTCAGACCATAGGTACATTTAAAATGGAGCTTAAAATTGAAAGACCAAAAATGGAGCTTAAAATTGAAAAACCAATCTTACTTCTATATATTGGTTTTCATATATGTCTGAGAGTTATCTGGGATAGTTTAGTGACTGACTATAGAAACAGAAATATTAAGTCACTTGTTCTCACTCACGCCCATAGTTCTGCTTTCTTTTTTGTCTGAAATCTATATAAATTCTTTCTTCTGTTTTATAACTACTGGACTGGTAAAACAGGGACTTTGTAAAATATATGAGTAGGGCAATAGAGAATGTATTCTATTTATTTGAAGTTTTGGCAAGGAATCTTCACAATATATTACAAACAGGAGTCCATGGTTTAAATAAAAAACTTATAAGCAAACACATTATTATATCTAGGCACACAATCAGCCCAGAGGCTGCCAAACCAGTGAAAATAAAGAGTTTGAAAAACAAGATATTTAAAGTTTTTCTGTATTCCTTTCAGATATATTTTGAGTATGTGGTATGTCTTTTTATAGTGAGTACTCTTCCCCATCAACAAAGGAGGGATATGTTTTAGTTTTGGGTTTCTTGTACCTTACGTATAGCAAATGAAGAAGTGCAGCCCTGGTTTAGCGCAGGTGACCCTGAATGAAAAAAAAAAAGAGTATAATTTTTGAGTAGTCAAGTAAGAAGCTATGCTCTGCCATAAGGCTAATGAGAGTAATTTTGCATATGATAGTTAAAGTACTGTCACCAAGGCCACCAGACTATTCCTGTAGCTTCCAACCAAGTCCTTCCTCAAACCCATGACATCAACTTGTTGGTATAAAAAGCCATTTCCCAGGTTCATGTTATGAGTGCTCAGTCTGCTGAGAATCCAAACACATCTTTCATTTCCCTAAAGACCCATGTATATTACATTATTCCTTTTGGAATTCAAAACAATCTTTGTGGAATAAAGGAGGATCATATTTTTTCAGGTGCTTAGCTCCTAATTCCCAGTAAAAAATATTCCTTCAGTAAAAATTGGAATCATGCATTCAGACATCATCAGTAACCCCATGCCTCAAATTGTGGCTGTATATAAGGACAGAGAAGCCTTCAGGTACCTCTGTTGATAAAGTCCTGTTTAGCACAGTAAGAAGTTGCCTGTGATGCTACAAGGATTTCCATTCTTATGAACTGAATCTGGTTTGTCTGTTTAACAAAAGACCAGGGAGCTACCACAATTTATTCCATTAACATCTGTTTAGGACCATAAAACTTGAACTGTCATATCTTTCAGGAAGATTTCATTTCCTCTGAGTGATCAAAAGAGAGATGACAGGTGCAAGTTCTTCCATAGAATGAGATACAGAATAAGAAGAAATTGTTACTGAAAAGGTAGAACTGGAGAGAAAAAAGGATGCCATGAAAGATGGCCCTTTGAAACCAGGAGTTAGTGAATTTATGGTGTTTCGCAGTCAGCTGGGGACTTTCAGCCAGTAAGAAGCTACTAGCTGGAAGAAATCTCAGGAGTTTGATTACTGACTAGAATAATGACACAAGTAATTTGATGTGTCATTTAGAAGACAAAACTCCACAAGTTCATTCATATTGAGAAAATACTAGAACATTTTTTATTAGAGTGATCAAAAATGCATAAATATTTTAAAAGACTGTCAGCCACACAAGTGAAATCCTATAATTTTTCCAGCATGAATTTAGAACTTGTTTTCTGTCAAAACAAATTACTTTAAATAAGAGAAACCACCAAATGTTTTCTGAATCTCTCAAGAGAAGGATAAACTCCTTTTGCTTATTTTGCCAAGTCATGTCTATTTTTCTGTAAGCTTCACTCTTGGCCAAGCCTGTTCACAGGACCTGGACATGTACAGGGTTAGCACAGAATCTCCGCAGAGCTTCAAAGCTATAAAGGTGGACCGTGACACCAGGAATGAAGTGGAAGCACTAATTTTTCCTGTGAAGAAATGTCAGGGCAGCTATGATATATTTTCCTTAAAAATGAAAAAAGCACAAAGATCTAAAAATAAGGTTTTCTTCATCAGATACCCACAGTATATACTGGAAAACTAAATTATACTGTGGCTGATTAAACCTAGGAGTAGTTTAAAACAAACTGAAATTCAGTGATGAAGATAGTAAAGTTCAAGCATAGGCTCCAGAGTGTCCTTGCAGTGTTTCCTGTCCAAGGACTAGCGTAGCAAGCCCAACTCTTTTCTTGTAGCCAGTGTATTATATGTAATTCTCTCAGCCACAGCAGTCACCTTTACATAAAGCAGAATAAAAATATTAATAACTATAAGGCCTTGAATTTTCTCCTTCAATATCACAGAGAGAGATATAATATCAGAGACAGTATACTGAACAAATGAGTTCCCAAAAGAGAGTGGGAGAGACAATCAGTTGTCACTGGTTGGGAATCTGTCCCAATATAAGGCTCACTGGGACTTTAGCACAGGTTTGGGAGTGTTATTAGACCTGTCTCACATCTCGTGCTGTCAGCTTCACAGATGATTTCCACCTCAGGCTCCTCAGCAGTTTACATGTTTTCAGCCCATTGCCATGGCCTTTGTCCTGCTTTGGGACCAAACACTGCAGGGGTGGTTAGTTAACCAATCCTTTACTCAACTCTGCTCAGTACATGAGAGAGGCATGAGCACAGCTCAGTCCAAATACAGCTGGAAAAGAGGGACTAAGTCACAGAGCAGCTATTTATGTAATGGATAAATAGTCCCATGGAGTAAGTGCCTCTCTCCAATTCACCCACACGGTTATATTGATCCTTTTTTGTCTAGAACCCAGATGTTGGTGTCTTTGTGGGTCATTGTTGATGCTCGCCATTTCCACAGAACTTTGAGTGAAACGGAGAGTTTCAAAGTTAAATATTTCACAAGCTTTTTATGGAACTGGGTGAAAAACAGCAGGGTGTGGTTGGTCATCAGCATTTTTCATTCAGTCTTCTACCATCTTCTATGAGCTTGTGCAGATTTGGCCTTTCTTCTCTGCTGGAGGAATCTCAACAGAAAGTATGTGTTTCTGGGGAGGATCAGGGGAGAATTTGGCTCACAGAGCTTGTTGTTAATGAGGCTTGAGAGGTCATTGTGCCTGAAAGAGGCATAGATGTGCCCAGGAGAATACATCAGCCACCAAAAAAACAGACTTGATCCTTGAGGAAAGCTAAAAGAAAGCCCTTGAATGCTTTTGATACCTCGTTAGTTTTAACAGTTTTGTCATCAGTTTATTCCTGCATCCTGGCAAGTGGAGTTTCATCAGGTGCTGAAGCAGTTTACACTAGGAAAATGGCATTTTGCCTCCAAGGATGGAGCCAAGAACACTGTGTAAAACCTCAGCACTTTTCATGTTTTATGAAACCAGATGAGATGGATTAAATCTACTGCTTTGTACTTTCACTTTCTTTCTCTTAAAATATGACCTCCTAAACTCCCAGAAGACAGCACCCCTCTGTAAATGCCATCTGAGCTAAAGCACTGCTGTGCAGGAATGGAGGCCTGGCCATTATATGCAGTCAGAAAACAAGAATGGAAATGCATTCAGCAGGTCTCATTTAGTTCTCACTAGCTGGCCAAACAGAAAGTTATTTCCCCTGATTGTCTCGATAAATTACTGGAATTCCCACCTACCCACTCCAGAGGACCTTGGGTCACCCTGATAGTGTAGAAATCCACATCTCTGTAGACCCTACAATCCTTGCTCAGATTGCCAAGGTAACTGGAGTCACAAAGGGATTATATTGATCAGAGACAAAAAATCTTGTATAACTCTGGCACTTTCTGCCCAAACATTCTTCTAGTTCTATGCACACATGCAAAATGCTGATTTTTTAATACCTCATTCTTCACAAATGCTTATGGAGAAGTAGATTGGCCAGCAGTTATAAAGACCTTTATGGAAACCATTTTTTATTCAGATTTATTTCCTAATTTAATGTCAAAGAAATCATAGTCACAACACAAAAACTAGCAACCTTGGGATTTTGGTTTCTTAATAAGTGGCTGGCTGCTGGATGAACATTAGATTGCATTCCTGAGAGATTATACCTAACAGGAATGTAGTTTGGGTGACTGGTTCAAGGTGGCATCATTTTGAAATAGTTTTAAGATCTAAGGCACTAATTTAGAAAAATGAACCTGCAGTAATTGCATTAAAACAAATAACATCCCCTGGCTTAGCTGTATCAAATTGATCAGAGGATATATTAATTTTCCACATGAATAATTCCTGGTCTTTTTTTTAGTTCAGCCAGCTCCCTCATAGCCTCTGTGCCCACTCTTTCAAGCTTTTGCATGTTATTCCTTCACTCACATTTAAATTTGTATGAATTGTTTCATTTGTTATGAGTTTCAGTACATATGAACATTGTTTCTCATTGTTCAATGAGATAAAATATACATTAAATTTTCAAAAAGCTAATATACTTCCACATAAGTATATGCATTAATAAATGAAGTGTCTTTTTCGAGTGTCTGTTGTGGTTGATATAGCAGGAATATTAATGAGCATCAGAGCTATCAAGTCAGCATATGTTTACTCTTAAAAATAAGTTAACCACTTAGCCCCTTTTCTGCTTTCTCTGGATTTGCCAATGCATGGATCAGGGTCTTCTGTCCTGCATCTGTGCAAGGTTCTGAAATTTTGTGTCTCTTGAAGATGCTTCCTTGTTCATTAAGATGAGATCTTCATCTTCCCACAGGATAGCCC